AAAATAATTTTAGAGTTTTTTGAATAAAAAATTAAATATCAGACCGTTTTTAATGTATTATATATCAAAATGAAGCTAAGAATGTGCTGGTTCTTTTTGTATTAAGTAAGAGAAGCCAAATACTTAATAAAATTTGAGATATTAGCTATAGAACGTTCCTATACTTTAGCTAGAATATCTTGTTAAAGAGCTAGTTACAAGATATAAAACTATATTTTCTAGATATAAAATTGTATGTAGAACAATTTTACTTAAGCAGCCAAAGGTAGTTTATTTAGTAGAATTTTAAGATATTGCAAGTTTTTTTTAAGAGAATTTGGTACAAGTGATAGTCAGAAAGAGTTAGTGATTTGCATCTATTTTTACATAATTATTATTTCACTCATATGTAATTTATGAGTATATTTTTATATCGATAATTTATTTTCATAATTTGATTACTTTATTTTTGATAGTTTTATTATGAATTTGTTTCTATATTTATCACAATATTTTCCTATTCAAAGATTTTGACTTGTATATAACGAATCGCTCTTGGAATAATGAACAATTGCTCTTCCAATAAATATACCTACTGTTCTTTTAGATAAATCATCTATACTTAATGATTACAATACTAGCATAAGCTTTGTTAATACTATTAATATATATTTTGAAAATTGGTCATATCAACTAATCAAATTTTGTTTACATTGATAGTTACAATATATCATTTTCAAAATAAGATACTTCAAAGGTTTTTAGTTCAAAAATAAAAACAAATAAATAATATAAAAATATAAAATATTAAAAAAATTTTATCATAAATGAAGAAGGTCAGTTATCTTATAAGATATAACTATTATCTTAGAAGTAAGATTTGTCTTTTTTTTAATTTATATAGATCGCTATACAATTTCATATATGCTGATCTCTTAATTAAATTATTATTCTGAAAATTTTCTGACATTACATTTGACTGTTAAAAATTCTTAATTTTATTTTAGATATAATCAATAAAAAATTCTTAGATTCTTAATTTGCTTTTAATAATATTTAATATTTTAAATTAATAAATATTTTATAATTGTTCAATTATAAAAATTAATCAATATAAGTTATATTTTAAATGTGTAATTTTAAAATAAATGAATCAAAAAATTTTTATACAAGTATCAAATTGGTACTTTGAAAAAAAAACTAATTATAGGATTAAAAATCAAATTCGCTTTGTTAAAGATTTTGATAGAAACCTGTATTTACAAAAAAAACTTACACAAAATCAAATTATGATTTGTGATTTAAAATACTATCAAATTATTAAAAAATATACATAGTATGCTAAAAAACATGGATATACTTATTATGCTCAAACATATTTGAATAAAACAATAAAATTTTTTTATCAGTTAATCTATCCTGAATAGTCTAAAACAGATTATATTAATTAATGTAGAATTGATAACTATGAAAAAAATTTATGAGAAATTATATAGTAAAAAAATATATTAAATACAAGATTATCTAAAAATAATACTTCAAGATATAATAGAATTATTTTTAATTTATATATGAATTCTTGGAATTTTTGATGAAGTGAAAATAATAAACTAAACAAAAACAATTTTATATTAGTAAAAAGAACTTTTGAACAGGCTAAAAAATTAGTAATAGAATTTAAATTAGCTTAAGATAAAATTACTAACAACTGTAATAGTTATTTATTTATTTTTTTTTTGTTGTTAAGGCGGCTTACATTGCTGAAGGAATTTTATTAGAATTGTCAACAGGATTATACATTAATAATCTCTACTGTTTGTAATTACATGAAGAGTGTACAACAATCCACACATACAACTTTAGTCATTGTCTATTTTAAGTAGTTCACTATACAGGCATTAGGCTATCTGATTAGTTCTACACAATACTGCTATACCTATAACCTACCTGTGAATTACTTATTTAAACACTCTGTTCATTAACACATACAGATCTAACCTAATGTCACTACAACATCTAACTGCTTAAGCCAGCTAGCTCATTACAAATCCATTTATCCAAACAGCTTAGATCCTCTTAAAATACAGTATACTAGACATATTGCTAGTACTGCAGAGCTAGTTAACCTCAAAGCAAATCTACTAGAGTAGTCTGTACCTATTTTATGAATTCACCTAGCTTAGATCTTTGTAGATGTTCATACAACTCCAGATTCTACTGTGGTCCTCCACTAGTTAGTTGACCTAGTCTTTTTTTAGTATCTAGCTGGTCTCAGTTACCTTCACTCGGAGTCCTCGAAACCTTCTACCTTTATTAGACTGAGTTTTCTTCTCGGATCAGACTTCAGCTGATATAGTCCTGTCAGAAGGCTGTACTACTTTACTAACTCAGGATTTTTACTATGCAGGTCCTCTACTCATATATCTTATAAAGATTTATTTGTATAATATTATACTATACTTCCAAGTTCTGATCGATTTGGTACAACTCAATTTACAGGGGTACACCTCCAGAAACGAATAGAGTTTACTGTGATGTATCACAAGGTCTAAGAAATTATTCAAATTCATTGACAGTAGGATTTGAACCCCAGACCTATTGCATAGCAGTCCAACAATCTAACCACTATACTAGGTCACTAAACCTTGTAATAGTTTTTTTTTTTTTTTATCCTTAGGTGATCTTGCCCTTCATTTTATTAAGAGAATTACATTATACGTAATAAAGCAAATACAAAAAATTAAAAAAAATACATCTATTCTAATCTTAAGACTGCCTTCTTTTTGCAATTCCGGACTCACTCGGCTGCCCTCAAGGTGCCCAAATGCGATCTGCCACAGCAGCAATTTTCCTCCCAAAACAAGAGATGTACAAGTATACACTACTCCTGTTTTGATCAAGAGAAGGCCACTTCCAGCCTATGAACCTTGTAATAGTTATTTATATAGATAAGTTTAAATTAAATACTTAATTTATTATAAAATAAATAAAATAAATAAACTATATTTCTATATTTAAACTAATATATATACTATGTTAAAGATTAATATTTTTTTTAGATTAGATCTTTTAAAATTCTAAGAATCTTTTCTTATTTGTATAACAAGAGAATTACTAATCTATGTAATATATCATATTATAATAAATAATACACAACAAATTAATAATTAAAAATCCAAATTTAATAAAGTATTTTTTAATTAAAATAAACCAAATATATAAATTTTTATAAAAAAATTGTAAATTTCAATAGTTTTTTTTGTTAAAATTTTTAAAAAAAAATGAATACTGATAATTATACTATTCACTGTGAATAATTAAAATTCAATGATATTTTTTTGCTTCTTTGTACCTTACAACTACATAAATTTTATTATAAATATTTACTTGATCTAATCAATAATTGAATTACAAGTTTTATCTATTGTTTGAATTGTAGATATGAAATACCAGAAGATAAGATCAAAAACATAGTCAAAGAAATAAAACTTCAAAATAAAATATGAAAAAAAAAAGATAGAATTAATAATAAATTAAAAGATTTGAAAAGGAAAATCTTGATAAAAAACTCAATGATGATATTAAAAAAGTTCAAACTAATGTGAAATGAAAAAGAACTAATTTATAGAACAAATATAAAAGAAATTTGAAGAAAATAAATGATAATAAAACAACTCAAATTAACAAATTAAAAATAAATATACAGAAGAAAAATCAAATATCATAGAAAAAATCAAAAGATAAGAATATGAAATTGAATTTGAAAATAATTTTAAAGATGTGATTAAATGAGAAATTAATGTGAACAAAAGACTGAAAGAAGAAAGAGAAAATATTGTAATAATTGATGATAAAATTAGAAATAATGTGAATATGTTTTTAGCAGTAATTCAAGAAAGATTTGCAGAAATAGATAGAAATCAAAATAATAATAATAATAATAATAATAATTATTAATTATATTTTTATATTTTTATATTTTTTTTGTAATATGAGTAAAACATGATATTTAACTATATTGATCACAAATTCAATGTAATTAATTATTATATTTTACTTACATTACTTTTGTAATATATTATTAATTAATTTTCTTATAAATAAAGTTGTTTTTTTTTCTTTTTTACTCATTCTTAAAAATGTCTTTGTCTAATATTGATTAAACTATTAAAGGATTAATATGAGTAATTTATATTATTTACTTAATATTGTATGCTAAGTATATTTTTGAGTGTAAGTAATGCTGTAGTTGAGTAAGACCTGTTAGTATACCTTCTATCAGATAGTCACCTATGTAAACTCAAAGATAAATCTAAGTTTGCAATACCAGTAGGACCTAAACATTTTTAGATACAATGAGGCATGATGTATTAATCATATTTTTAATTATTAGAAAAATCCTTATCTTAAGTTTAAGAATGAGATTGTTGAAATATTAAAAGATAATTTTGAATTTGATATTCATTTTGATTTTAAAACAATTATTCATTATTATCATAAAGAAATTATAGTATCAAAAGATAGTATTAAATTTTTAATTTTATATAAATATAGACCAAAAGCAAATATTCATCTTAATGATATTGGAAGAATAAATAGAATTAGCAAATATTATAGTGTTCAACCTGTAGTTGTTACTAATCAAGAATATAGGAAAAAAGCAATTAAACTAGCAGAAGAATTGAATGTTTTATTAACTCATAAATCTAATATTAAATATAAATTACTTTTTTGTATTAAAAAAGAAATTAAAAAGATAGAATTAGAAAATATTGAAAAAGAAGAAAAAATTTATTTATGTATTTATGAATAACTAAAAATTATGCAATAAAGATATTTTATTTATAAGAATTTTAAATTATTATTTTTTAAATTTTTGTTTCTTCTAATTGTTTTAATGCAATTGCAATATACTTTGTATATTTTCCTTGAGCTATTAATTTTTTAGTATCTTTGTTATATATTTTTATATTAGTGTATACTATAGCCTTACCAAATTTTATATATTCTGTATTTACAGTATTAATATAACATCTCCTTCTTTAGCAAGATTTATGAATAAAATACTTATTTCTATACTAACTCTAGCTAAACATATTAATTCTTTTGAGGCTATAGCTAATGATTCAACGATATTAATTAATGTGGCAATTATTCTACTATGAATTACTTTTAAATAACTTAAATGATTTGGTAGAACAGTTATTTCGCTATTCACAATACTGTTTATTGTATTTATTATTTTTATCTATATTAAATTAATTAATTAATAATAGAATAGAATATAATTTATTTTAAAAGATTACAACCATTTTTTAATAAAAGACTATCAAATTCATCAAAATATTTATGAAAATAGTCTTAAATCAATTCTGTCATATTAGTTGTTGTCATAATTTGATATTTTTTATTAATTAGTTTTTATTATAAAAGTAACTAGATTTTGGATTGAAAAGTATTAAACAAAGATAATCGAATTAAAAAAGTTTAATTATATTTCTAAAGATGATAAGCTTAAATTTACCTTTAGTTTGAAACAAGATGAAAAATAGTATTTATTTTATATAACACTTATATATGAAGGTTTACCTTGTTCTTTGAATAGGTTTGAATTATATTATAAAAAAACTTATAAATATGATAATGATTACGAATATTCTAAAATTCAAAATAAAGATAGAACACAATCTTTTATGATAAAATTAGATATGAAACTTTATTTCAACAGTAATCTTTTATATGAATTTTCTTAGAATAACTATCAATTAAAAAATTTTTTTGACAATAATGATAAGTTATGTATTTATTTAATTTTAAATAATCATATTATTGATTTGGATAAAAATTACAAATGTATATTTATTAGTAAAGAAACTTATTACACAACTAGTATAGTTGATACAAAAGATATTTTGCTATATACTAATAGATTGAACTAAAAAAAAATAGTGTTAAAAATTATTATCAATTAGAACATAGTAAATTAGATTATTTTTTTATTTTTTATAGAAATTGTGTAATTAAATATATTAAAACTAGGATGGAAATTGATTATTATAATATAAATAAGGATAAAAATTTATCTACAAAATTTTTTATTAATTGAATTATGTATTAAATTATTAAAATTTATGTTATTCATTATTAATTATTTTATAAATAAATATTAAGCAAATATTTTAAGAAAAGATTAATGTCTAAATTTTCAAAATTCAAATCTTTGTTAGATATTTTTTTAAATAAAAATAAATCTATCAAGTTTTTATTTAATAAAAATATCTTAGAAAAACCACAGGTTTGCTCAAAATGTAACAAAAGGAAGTTTTTCTGTGAAAATAAAAGATTTTAATGTAAAAACTAATGATATAGAGGATCTGTTTTGATATTTAATAATTCATTTTTTTTAAATAATCATTTAAAATATAATGATACTTTATATATCACATATCTTTAGTTAGCAAAAGTGTCTATTAGTTCAATATTAAAAATAACAAACTATTCATCTAATACAGTAACTGATTATCTAAATTTTTTTTGAGAATTAGTAATTGATATGTTGAAAGATGAGCTAAATAAGATAGGTAGTAAGAATATAGTAATACAAGTTAATAAAGCTAAATTCAGCAGATGTAAATATAACTATAGACAAAGGATGAATAGTATTTGGGTTATTAGTAGTATTGAGATTACAAATGAGAAGTGATGTTTTTTAATAATGATCAAAAAAAAAGATAGTAAAACTATACAAAAAATTTTAAATGATTATATTGAACCAAAATTAATACTTTATACTGATTGTTAGAGAGGATATAACAGAATTGAGGATGAGTTGAATGTGCAGTATAAAATGGTAAACATTTTATAGATCCAAATACAGGTGTGAATACAAATATGATCGAAGATATTTGGAATAGTATAAAATTACAAATTACATTATATCATAGATATAAAGATCTAATAAAAAAATATCTATTTGAATATATTTAGTATAGAAAAAACAAAAATAATTTATAGAATGCATTTTTGGATACATTATATACAACTGCATATCTATTTAATTAATTTTTATTCTAAAAAATTTTTGTACAATATGATTTATTTTAAGTGATATCTAAATAACATATACTCATCTTTCCTGTTATTTTATATATTATCAAAATTTTTTTTAAAATTAGAGTCAAAGTATTTGTTAGAATTAGAAAAAAAAAAATATAGTTTTTAAATTCAATTCTTTTTATATAAGTTATATGATATAATTACTTTTTTTTTTTTTTTTTTATCTTGAGCGATCTTACCTATCATTTATTCGAAGAAATATCAAAATGAAATATAGATACAAATTATAAAAAGTCCTAAAACTAAACTATAACTATATCCCTCCTTTTACAATTCAGGATTTATTCAGCTACCAGTTGGTGCCCAAGTGCGATCTGCTGCAGAAGCCAGTTTTCTCCCCGCAGTAACTCTCCTCGAAGAAGATATTATCCTTGGATTAACAAAGGCGACTTCAAGCCTTATCAAGATCCTAGGTCTCTTATAACCTAATTAACACTAAGCTACAAGTAGTTAACACCTAGT